TTATAAAGATGAACATGCTTCTTCTTTAGGTCATTAGACAGAAGACAAGCAAACTCCTTAACATGTTTTGCTTTATTTAAGTTCAGATCTTGGGACTGAAACAGTCTACTTATCCATCTCAAATATTCAATAGGTCTGTTCTCCATTTTTGTTCTGAAGTGGGTATGACAATGCCCAAAGATGTTCAACACCTTATTTTCACTTTGTCAACCTAGTTTTCTTTTTCTTTTTTTCTTTTTTTTTTTTGATGCAGAACCTAAGTGTACCAAATAATATGAATAGCAGTCATTATTGTGTTTTTTAATTCAGAAAATGTAGCTAATGTAGCATGAATTTAATTCAAGAAAGAAAATTACAAATTAAAAGTGGTGTAGTGAAAGGAATGTTATTTCTGTACTGATTTTCTAGCTCTTTGAATTGAGAAAAGTCATTTAATCTCTCTGGGACTCCGTTTCCTTATCTGTAAAACAAATGTATTGTCCTACAGTGCCTTCCAGCTCTAACATTCTGTGATTCTCTGAAAATAGTGCCAGTGCTGCCCATGTGCACTATTAATGTTTTTTAATGCAATTCCAGATTTGGGGGATTAAAATGAAAATCTGAGAAAGTGCACAATATAATCTACTACTTTTCTTGATGAAACCACACAAACTCTTGGCATCAAGAAAAGAGTTCATTATATGCAACGTGTACCACTCCAAAATTACCAGATACTCTTAGAGATCAGTTTTAGGGATATAAGAATGGGAGGTCCTTCCTGGTCCAAAAGAAGATGATTTCAGTTCTAACAGGAATTTTGTGCTCATACGAAATTCATTTTTAAAATGTTTCCATTCTATGCTATCATAATTCCCTAGTTATTATTTATGATTATTGCTTATACTGAAATAGCTTTTCCTGACTGTAGAATTTTCAAAAGCTTCCTTATTTAGACTATAGAGCAAGAGAGTTGTTTAAAAGGCCTTGGGAGCCTAATCAGTTCCTCATCTGTACTACACAATTTTCAATCATGTGCAGTATCCAACTCTCAACTTATTTATTTTTAATTCCAGCATTAACATATAGCTAGAATGATTTCTGAGGCAAAGTTAATAGGTAAAGCTAAAAAAAAATACTGTATCTCTTTCCATTCTCAAAATGAAATTTGTTGGCTAACACCACATACTATGCAATTAGGCACATCAAATTAAATGACTCTAGTATAGACTAGAAAATGCTATACCATGTTAACTCAAATTATTAATGCAAATTTTCTCCCACATATTTCAGTTTTAAGTCCTTTAATCAACTTAAAAATTATAATTTCACTTATTAAAATCTCCAAGATTTAGCAAATAGTCTGAATTAATTCTTTGGTAGTAAAAAAAGTTTGAATTTAGCAACTAAAATTGGAATAATTTATCATTTGTAGACATTTTTCATGCCAAAGAGTTAACTGCTGTAGTCTTGAACTCCAAAAGTTATGATTACTTCTCTACAAGGCTAGAAAAGGAATTACCCAAGACAAATAGTGCTTTCATAGCTGCACCCCCTGCCTCTGTTTCCTTCAAACAATATGATCTTTCAGCCTTTTATTATCTCTGTCCTTTTTGAGATGTCTTTCATTGTCCTTCTTGAGACATATTACTTGGAATTAAATATAATATTACAGAAGTAATTTGACCAGGGTGATGTGCAGGTATAGCAGAACATCCCTTTCCCCAGGGACTATGTTTCTCAATGAGAATGTTATTTTGGTTGCTATATTACACTGTTGATTGTTAGCAAGGTTCCAGCCAACTAAAACACCCAGAATCTTTCCAGATGCACTCTTTTCTTGCCATACCTCCCCTAGTTTATATTTGTGAAATTCATTTTTTGAGGTTAAGTCTAAAACATTAAACTAATTAAATCTCATCTTATTAAATTTGCTCCAACAATTTAACCTATTGAGATCATCTGGGGTCCTGATTGTCATCTGGTGTATTAGGATTTTAGTTGTCTGTAAATTTGACAAGGGTTTCATCTGTTAAAAAAAAAAGTAAAACTATCTAAATCCCTGGCGAGCTCCACCGGAAACTTCATTTTACCATGATATTGCACTCTTAATGACTACTCTGTAACTCAGTTCTCAAGACAACTAATTGTCTATCCTAAATATTTTCATCTTGTTCACATTAGCAAGGGACTCTGTCAATTGTTTTCATAATATTAAGAACAACTCTTTCTCTACTATTTCCATCATCTACAAGTATAGTAAACATTTCAAAAAAAAAAAGAAAGGAAATGAGATTAATCTGGCATGATCTCTCTTTGATGGAGCCATGTTGGCTGGTTCTTGGTATTCACCTTCCTTTTCTAGATGTTCACTAATCATTCCTTTAAAAATACATCTAGAATTTTTCCAGGATTCAAAGTTGAGCTTATCATTTGTAGATTCCACCCTTTGCCCTCTTTTTGAAAAGCAGAATAACATTTGTCCTCCAGTATATGGAACTTCTCCCCTTTCCCATAATTGTTCAATTATTGGCTGTAGTTAAGCAATCATAATCTACCAGTTTGTATTTTTTGTTTTTCAGTATTCCGGAAAGTAGTTTGTCTAGGTCTGGTGACTTGAACTTATTTGAAAAGTAATCCAGTTGATAAGAGATTCATTAAGAAAATATAGATAAAAGAAACATAATTTCATTTCAGAATGCCGTCAATCCTCAACTATCTCAAGGTGTGTCCATCTGCCTTCAAATTCTTATAGATATGCTATATAACCTATGCTACATGATAAAATACTTTGCTATATTAAAATGTGCAAAAAATGTGATTTACTCTAATCTAGAAGTAAATTAAGATATTCACAGAGGTATTTTTAAGTTATTTCCTTGAGCCAGTAGCATCTCTCTCATAATGGAGAGGAAATCAGCAAATGAATTGAAGAAGGGGCAGGATGTAGAATCAAGACAATCAGAATTTTATAGCTTGTTTTCATTATTGTTTGAAATAATGTGAATTCTGCAAACACTGGATATACCTATCTAAAATTAAACATAAAACACTTTCTAAAACCAAATGTAACATTTTGGGAGATTTTTACCATTTACTTCTCTCCAGTAATGTGGATAATTGAAAGTTGACTACATAACAATCAAAGTCTCTATTTGTTAATCATTTCAAACCTTAACCTTTATTTAGAATGAAAATTTGTATAAATTTATTACTTAGAAAATACTTTAAACTTCTTTTTTTTTAAATTATTACTTAAACAAGTATTAGGTCTCATCCCCCCAGCACAACTTTTACACTTAAATGGACTTTTAAGGCTGAGACAATGGGGACACATAGGAATATAGTGAAAATTCATTATAAGGCATACGTTACATATAGTAATTTCAAACCAACATTTTATATTTCTGGGTTTCAATGTGAACACTGTAGATAAAATACAACTCTTTTATTTTTTTTTAACATGACTTCACTGGCTGGGCTCCTGGGGGGTAAGTCTAGGATAACAAGTAAAAGATAACAAGAATCAAACAATCTTCATTCACAAAAGTGTATACAATTTTTGTTGCCTGATGTTGGATGCTTGTTCTTATCTGATGAAGACTGACATATATAAATTTCTGAACAAAGCTAATGTCTTCATCTTTTACTCATATCAAAACTGTGTTTATATATTAATTATAAAAATAAACAAAAAGATTGTTTATGGTTAAAATTCTAGTCATGGGAAATTTTTATAATCGTTTCATGGTAGAAACCACTTTCTGAAGGTCCTAAGGGTCCTCATTCATCTAGATCAGTTACAGTAGATAGTGATTGAAAAGAGGTCCTAATAGCACCCTGGAAGTGATTTTTTTATGCAATTTAAAGCAATCAATTATTATCAACTTTATCTGTTTCTTTTTTTAGAGTTGATATACAGAATGAGCCATTTAGTTAAACTGATTAGAAATCCCTTAATTAATAAGACCTGAGTTTATCTAACCATGCCTACAAATAGATCGTTATAAAAACAGAATCAATTGCAATAGATATACTGGCGCCATAGGACATAGCTGAGGGAAATGGAAATACACATCAGTATTGCTTTGTCACCAAAGGAAAATATTAGACAATATCCCTATGACCAAATTTAGAGTTAATTGCATTAGTATGAAAACCATCATGGATATATTGGTGCATACTATATTTACCAACCAGCTTCTTCCTTTGTTAAAGAACTGTTTTTCTTTCAGAATAACTTCTAAATATAATTACTTTGCTTAGATCTGAAGAATAAATTTTGAGGAAGGACTATTTCCAATCTCTATTTATAATACCTTCCCATGATTAATGAACCTCTTAAGTACACAGGCAGTTGGAAGATGAAGACCTTTGCTTCGCCATCTGTAATCTGACATTTCTAACTTGTATTAAGAAGCAGCTTTGTATTTTTGGTAAGACCATCTCCCTGCCTATTTACCCAATGTACTACTTTCCTAGACTATACCTGTTGGCTTTATTTTCAGTTTAGAAAACAGACCGAAAAAGTCAGTTTTAGTAGAATATCAGAAGCAATGGCTGGGAAACCATATTAAAAAAAAAATCTACCTGCACAGTCAAATGATTAAAGTCCCTGTAAGAAGCATATTGGATTCAGAATAATTTGTGAAAAAAATAAAGCCATTTGGCCATTATGTCAAGGAGAATCAAAACAGTACACTTCAATAGTAAAGACATTCATAATTAAAAAAAAGAAAATACTGAAATATTTGAAATCTATTCTAGTGCTTTAGATAAACATTTGTTTCATGTCTGTTTTCTTTCATTCCCCCTCTCATAATGTGAAAATAGTATAGAAATGGTATTTTCTGCTATTTATTTCATTGCCTATTTACAAAAACACCATAGATTATTGCAAAATCATTGATTGAGGAGAACAGATCTGTTTATGAGAAACAAAGGTATTTTATGCAAATATTTACTTCTATGAATAATGGAAAAAGAAGAGACAAATAAATGTATTTATAAGAAAACAAATTCTATTTTCTTTTTGCATTGTCAGCAGGTCCACAGAAAGCATTATGTGATAAGCAAAAAAATGATAGAAGACAGGGACTTAGTAAAGTTACCTTTTAGATGAGTTGACTAACACCTAATTGTCTTCTACCTTAGAAAATATAGAAAGCTAATTATTTTAGTGGGCAAAAATTACTGGCAAATTTTCAATGAATATCAGTATAGCTGGCATAAACTTCTCACATCTTTGATCCTAAATTAGAATACAAAGGTCAGCATGTAGCCACAGGGCTCTATGCTAACTATGCACAACTTTATCGCTGGGGTTGGAGATGGCTACAATGTATAAAACTGGTGATAAAAAAATAACTTTATAAAAATGTGTCCCTTTTCCCCTTTTATTTTTTTAAGAGTATACTATCTACAGGACCAAAAAAATTCTTTATATTTACACCGTAACAACTAATTATTGACAAATATAATATTTTATGAAATAAAATATATCGAAAGTGAGTATCAATCTTAAAAAGGGGTTTGGTTCACAGCATAAACAAGTGTGGAAACAACAACAACAACAACAAAAAAAAAAACCTCAATATCAGGCCCAATCTCTATATAATTTCCTTCTTTGTTAAAAATAACACAATAGTGTACCCAAAGCCTGGAAGTTGAAGCTAGATAACCCATATCACACAGCAGGTGTAATGCTACTCTTTGATGCTGGGTAGTTGCAGTTATCACTGGCCTCTCTAATAAGCCAATCTTTATTAGTTACTAAGACATAAAACTTCTCCTGTTATTTAAAAATACCATGTAACCAGGTAGAAACATTTCATTCTTCTATAGCTGTGTCCTAAAATATGCTTAAAATTTTACAAGAAATATGGAAGTCATAGGAGAATAATTGCAAAGATGTAATTTATTCTCTAGCCTCCTGTCTATCCCACCCTTCTTCTACATCTGGCTAGAATAATAACTTGATTAGATAATTTGATCACAGGTCTTTCCTTAAATAATAAAGAATGCTATGTTGTCTTCATCTGTTGCCTTAACCCTTGGTAAACGGATTGCATGTATGCACTTCCATTTTTCCTATGTTCATTTGGCTGAACTGTATTTAAAGCACCTGTGCTTCCATGGGTTTGAGGTTGGTCATAGCATGCCTCTAAAAGGCGCAAGAGCAGTATTGCCAGTGACATGGCCCTGGCAAGAAGACAGCAGTGAATGCACCTTCTACTGCAAGGGGAGATTTTATTGCTTCTCAAAACAGAACATCTATTATAGTGTCTGCTTCCCATCACTACAGATGTAAGTTTCTTAATACTGGCACCTTATGTTTGTTCACATGTGCTGAATCACATGTTACAGCTAATCTAGTAAATTCTCAATGATCACTCTCTCTCCCCTACACACACACTCAAGCATACCCTTTCCCAACTCCTAACCCCATGCACACATGTGTACCTGCACACACAAATGTGCCAGATAGCACAATTCCCTTTTATGACTTGCACTGTAATAGTGACCATTATATATTTTATATGAATGTTGCAGAAGTGTACAAACAATAACTCTGGCTCTGTGTGATTATATGTGTGTCTGTGTCTGGGTGTTGCATGTGTGTGTTCATACACACAGATGCATATATTTCTTCCTTAAATAAAAAAAAAATTGTGGAAGCCAGTGTTGCAGTGAGAAAGCTTCTCTGAGCATATGAGTTTAAGCAATATACCTCACTGAAAAAAAATGAAACAACAACAAAAAAAACACAAACACAAACAAAACACAAAATCCTGACAAAAACATTCCAAGTGAAACAGCCATTGGTGTGTTATCCCACATTTCTACAGTGTTGTGTCTAAATGTTGTGCTGGCTTGCAAGGAGTCTGTGCACAAGTCAATCTGGCTTAAAGTAATGCTTGGTGAATTGTCATTGGGTCAGATTTGTAGTTGTGTCCTCTCCTTTTGGTTTCCTTTTTTCCTCCTCCTCTTCCTGGATTGCCTGGATTTGCTCTGAGGATTGATGCAGGGTGGGTTTTTCTAGACTTAGCTTTTCCATCCCACTGCCTAGTCGTTGCTCATCTTCAATGACTTTCTTCCACATTTTATGGTTTTGAAGGAGGTGCTGAGTTATTTGGCAGTAGATTTTCCTCCTTTTGAATGTCTGCTGTCCTGAAAAATATTAAGACCAATTTTGGGTTTGGGGAAGACTAAACATAATATTCATTATCACTCTGTCTTTCATTTAGTTTACTGACAAGATTTTAGTATCGTCTGGTTATATGTGTTTTTTCATGCTTAACTCAGGGTTGCATATTCCAGGTATAGAAGAGAATATTACATTTAGGGACCATGATCTAGTTATGAAATTCTAATATGTAAATATTTGAAATTTTGTATATTTTATGCACATTGGTTTGTAAGTTTCTGTATAGAAACAATAAAGAGGACATTTTCTATGTGCTCATTAGGAAATCAGTTTAATAAACCTGGTTATCTTTAAAAAGTGGCTGAATGAGGCAGTTACGTCTTTTACTCCAATTGCAAAAACCTATTAATAAGTGCCTTTTTCAGGCTTCCAACTATGCAATGATGCTATTCATTTCAAACTGGCCAGGATATTTTAAATACTAGTAATTAATAACCAAATGCTTACTTTAGTCACTTTGATACATTTTAGTTTATGGTTCTCATATCCAAACTCTACTGAATATGAGATAACCCTCTTTTTTTAGACTGTTCCCTGGTTCCATATTCTAAATATGAGAATTTCATATAGCTTATCCACTGCAAAAAATTGACAAGAAATTCTTATTTAATGAAGAAACTATAACAAATAATAAAAGTGAAAGTTATTAGAATGACAGGAATAGAAATCTGGGTTCTTAAGTTTTAGTAAAGTAGCTGCTTCTTAGACATCTTGAACTGGATGTCCTGTAACTATCTTAAGCTAAACATGTCTGGAATTGAACTCATTATCTTCCTTCCCTACTCCACTCCCCAAAAACCTTCTAACCTTCCTAACTTTACCTATTATTGCTCAAAGTATCACCATCCTCCCAATCTCCTGGGCTTACAACCTAGTTGTCATCCTTCATTCCTCACATTCAACCCCACCCCATATCCAATCAGTTATCCAGTCCTGTTATTTCTATCTTCATAACATCTCTCAGAAATGCTTCCTTCTTTCCTTTGACACTAAAACCACTATAGTGCAAAACTCATCATCTCATTCCTGGACTACTGCAATAGCCTTTTAGTTGCCTGCCTCAAGTGTCTTCCCTACCTCCAGTCCATCATCTACTACAATGTCAAATGGATCTTCCTAAAGCATAGGTTTGACTATATTCTTCCCCATCCCCCATGCAATAAACTTAAGTGACTCACTTTTACCTCCAGGATCAAATATGAACTCCTATGTTTGGTTTTGAAATCTCCTCATTACTTGTCCCCTTCCTGCCTTTCCAGTTTTCTTTTCTTTCATGTACTCTGTGATCCAGTGACATTGCCTTCCTTGATGTTCTTCACACATTAACACTCCATCTTCTCACTCTTTCTCTCCATGTCTGGAATGCTCTCCCCTTCTCAATTCTACCTCCTAAGTTTCTTTAAGTTTCAGTTAGAGTCTTACCTTCTGCAAGAAGCCTTTCCCAGTCCTCCTTAATCTTAGTGCCTTCCTCCTGAGGCTACCTTTAATTTATCCTGTATATGTCTTACATAATTGTTTGCATGAGGTGCTCCTTAAAAGCTTGGACTGTGTTTTATTTTCCCTTCCCTTTCTTTGCATCCTCAGTGCTTAGCATAGTGTCTAGTTACACAGAGGTGGGGAACCTGCTGCCTCAAGGCCACATGTGGCCCTCTATAGGTCCTCAAGCGTGGCTCTTTGACTGAATCCAAACTTCACAGAACAAAGATTTGTCAAAATCAGTCAAAGGGCCCCATTTGAGGTCCTACATGGCCACATGTGACCTTGAGGCAGCAGGTTCATCACCTCTGGTATAGTACATAGTCAGTGCTTAATAATTGCTAACTAATTGACAGTAATCAACCAATCAATTGAAAGCAAATGTCTTGATTGTTCTATCATTTACAAGGCAAATTTTTCATGGAGGAAAGACTCAGAATTAGTTAGGAAAGGTAGTATAGTTAAATATTTCTAAGAAACTATTGATATGTGAAGGTAATAGAAAAAAAAAACAAGAGAATTATACAGGAGATAGCTTCCAAATCACTTCCCTTTTCTGGTTAGCCCTGTTTCCTCATTTGTAAAATGAAGGGTTTGGGCTAGACCTCTAGAGACTTTTACAGATCAAAACTCTATGCTTTTCTTCAATGAATTTTATTATATTATAAAGTACCCAATTCTTACATATTGGCCCAAATAGTGTTTACCTCCCCTCAGCTATGGCATGTAACACATGTTATAGTTATGGCATATAATTAATGCTATTTTTCTGTGTGTGTGTGTGTATGTGTTTTCTTTTCAAAGTGATTACATGTTTAGCCTGTGGTCTATACTTAGAGGTGGCTAATAGCTGGACAAATATAGTATACCTGAATTCAGATCATTCTCTGGTTAAAGAAAGAATAAAAGTAAATTATTTGGCCCACCTACATACATACAGTCATAACTGTAGGAGACATTCTGTTGCTAAGGATGTCAATTTAAGCTATTAATGTTTTGGAAATAGATTTCTGATGGTTAATTTATTAACACAAAGCTCAAATGTTCTTTTTCTTTTCCATGAAGCATACGTAGAAAGGAATGGTTTCCTTGTTACTGATCTAAAACTTCAGCAATCGACCTCTCTGTAAATTTTACTTAATAAGGTGATACACAAGAATGTTTGTACCCCAAAAATGTGCATAGATTTAAGTCTGCAGGTGGTCTAAAGGACTAAATTATTCAGTACTGGAAGCTTCTGAACTGTGAACAAAGAGCTTTTCAATGTTGCAAGCCTAAACCCAGCTTAGTGCTTCATTAGAAAGTTCTTAGGCCCCTGCAGGAATCTTTCAGATTTAATTATGAGAATTTTTAAAAGCCTCTCTTTCCTCAGAATAGCATATTAATCCTGTGTTTCCTGGGATATATCCAAATTTTTTAAACCTCAGTAGATACCAGAGCATATTTGAGGTTTGCAACTGTACTTGAATACAAATAGCAGACTAGATCAAATGATTATTAATTAAAGCCAATACCAATTCTGAAATAAGAGAAAGAATAAAATAATTAAATAAAGGGCAATAGCCACTTTAGAATCCTTAGTAAAGTCATTGTCCTTTCCAAGGTCTCAGTTTTTTTATCTATAAAATAAGGGTGTTGAGCTACATGGCCTTCAAAGATCCCTACCAGCCCTAGAATTCTACATGGCTAGGTTGCATTAAACATTTTAATTAATTAATTTAATTATTTAATTAATTTAATTAATTAATACCCAATCTTCTTGGGTATAATGAATTGTTGCATTTGTTACAAAAATGCATTCTCCACTAATAGGAATAGGAATAGTTATGGTATCTATAAAAAATCCAGATTATCAAAATGGGCCAGGGCACATATTTTCTGACTGAATTTTGATTGAATTCTGAAGCAGAATGAGAATGGAAAGAATACATTTCACTAATTCATTCATTCCTTTCAGCAAATGCTTATTAAGCACCTACTATTTGTGATGTACTATTCTAGGAGCTAGGAAAATTCACATTTATATAGCACTTTATTTAACATCTCCAAGAGGCAAATACTGTAAAATATATTATCTTTATTTTATATAAAAGGAGAAATAGCTAAGAGAAGGAAAGAAACTTACGGACAGGCAACACATGACTATTGCAATTTTGAAACCAAGTCTTTTGATTCAAAGGCCTGGGCTCTCAAATACCTGATGTTCCCTCTCCTTGAATCTGCACAAATTATTTCACTGGTTTTGGGAGATCCTCCCCAGATACAGATCAGCAGCTCACCTGCAATTTATTGTCATAGAGATTTTCTGAAAATCTATTGAGGAAAAGATGAAGTCATAAGGGAACTATTGTCACAGGAACAGGACAGGTAAAAGGTCAGTGCAGAGACAATAAACTCTAATAATTTACTAGGTTAAGGGTGGGAAGAATAGGAATTTATGGCTTTTGGAGTTTAGGTAGAGTGGGTAAAATATTCTCATGATGTTATTTACTCAAAAGAGGAGAGCACTCATTGATACTTTCTGTTGACTACTAGAAGAGGTATGAAATATGCCAGTTTACACTGAACAGGTAAATGCTTACTTACCCTTGGGGGAGTCATTATTTCCTGGTGAAGGAGAATAAAAGTAAGAAAAAGGCAATATCACAAGGGAACATGGAACATAAGTAAGCAGTTCATGAATGGTGATTTGAATATGGAAGTTTCTTTGGCCCCAATGTTATTTCTTCATTCACCAAAATTTTAAACTTTAGCTTCTAGAGGTGGAAAAGGCAGAACTTCATGTTTCAGACAGATGAGATACTGAGGGATAAATCCCAGCTCTTATATACAGATGACAACCTTTGTACAAAGATGCAGAGCCAAAGAGATAAAAAGCACTAAGAAAACTTTTCTTTCTGAATCAGAGAACAGGTTTATTTATGTGAAAGTGGGATGCTGAAGGCATTTCAGATTTATTGTTTTGTGTCAGGTACCCATGTATCTACCTTAGCAACTATAAATAAATACTTATGCTTATGATCTACAGAATACTGACATTATATTAAGTTGAGAAGCCTTTCCCAATCCCTCTTAATTTTAGTGCCTTCCCTCTGTTAAGTAGTTTCCATTTATCTGGTATATAGCTTGATTGTACATATTTGTTTCTTTGTGGTTTCTCCCCATTGGATTGTGAGCTCTTTAAGGGAAAAGACTATCTTTTGCCTTTCTTTGTATCCCCAGCACTTAGCACAGTACCTGACAAATGGTGAGGTCTTAAGAAATGCTTATTGACTAACTGATTGATTATTAGACAGCTAGGTGGTGCAGTGGATAAACAGTGGGCCTAGAGACAGGAAAATGTAAGTTTAAATCTGATCTCAGACACTTAATAGCTGTGTGACCCTGGGCAAGTCACTTAACCTCATTCTTTCTCAGTTTCCCCAACTATAAAAATGGACATAATAATATCTTCTGTCTCCCAGGTTCATTGTGAGGATCAAATGAGATAACATTTCTAAAATCCTTGGCACAGAGTGGTACTATGTCAATGCTTATTCCCTTCTTTCTCCCTATTATTATTATAACATGTTACATATGCTGTAAATTTCATCTTCCATAATTGTTTGAGAAGGAATATCTGGAAGCAAACCCAGAAGAGATGCTTATGTTTAAGCCAGAATGTTTAATAATTGAGAAGCTGATGCTTTGATTCCATTTATGTGAATTGCCTTTGAGAAAATACAAATGGGGACAGATGCCTAATTTACCTGCAGATTCAACATTTTCACAAGTTTCCTCTTCAGTTGCTGGTTCTACTTCTTCCCGGTCATCTGTGTCTCCTCCTGATTCATCACTGTCTTCCACCCATTTCCCAGGCATCAGTCCTGCAGAGTCATAGCTGTTGCACAATGGCCCCACAATATGAGAGATGAAAGATTCTTGAAGATTTGCTAACTGAGGAGCAGAACGGTCCATAAAAGGGCTTATGGGAAGCCCAAGGCTGGCCTCTTCATCACCCTAGAAATTAGAATACCTCATTACTCTTCTACAGGGAAATAGTTAAGTGAAAAGGGCCAATTAAAATGAAGTCAAGTCAATAAGTAAGAAATATTTCAATAATACTCTAAAGCTATTCACATCTAAGTCAGTCCAGAGTATTTTTTAAACCTGGTCCATTTTTAAAAGCATTAATTGAGTACTTAATTTTAGCTATTGATCTTTGACTATTGTCAATATTAATGATTTTTTTATCATAGTGGAATAAAGCATAAATTTTCTGAATGAAATCATAGGTGTGAAGTAGAATTGAAACAAAGAAGTTCAGAATTTTATAATTGTGTTGAAATTAGATTAGTGAGGGGATGGATGGGAAGCAAGGAACAAATTAAAAGGTTATTATAATAGCTCATGGATTAAGTGGTGGATTTATGAATTAGATTAGTGAATGCATGAATGCAGAGGAGGCAGATGCAAGCAAGTTATATTGTGGAGGCTGAAGCAACAGGGGATGCCAATTGATCTGTTATGGGAATAAGGGAAAGAGATAATTTGTTGAAGTTGAAAACCTGAATGAATGGGTGATGTTCTCTACAGAAATAGGGAACTTAGGAGGAATGAAGACTTTTGAAGGAAAGACAATAATTTCTGTTTTGGACATTTTAAGTTTGAGATGATTACAGGACACTCAGAAGGAAGTGTGCATTAGCCAATTGTTCATGTGGACCTAAAGTTCAGAAGAGACTGGGGCTGGATATATAGATATATAAATTGTTTACTTAGAGGTGATTGATGAACCCATGGGATCTGATGAGATCATTGAGAGAATGTACAGAAGGAGAACAGAAGATGTCTCAAGAGAGAATCTAGGTATGCTCACATACAAGGGTGGTTGGGGTGAGGGGAGAGATATGAATGATGATTCAGCAAACGTGATTAGGAAGGAATTGGCAGACAGGAGGGAGGAGAATTAGGAAAGAACAATGTCATGGAAATAAACAAGTAGACTATGTCTGGGTAGAGAATACTATCAACAGTTTCAAATTCTACAGAGAGGTGAAGAATGATGAGTATCAGTAACTCTCGACATATAATTTCATTTGAGGATTGTTTTTAGACATATGATAAAAATCAATTCTACCAACTCTTTTGCAACTCCAAGGAAAACTTATGAAATATATTTTTAGCTGAAACCTCTTTGTGGATTCTCGTTTCATTTATAGTCTAGGAGCAACAAGAAACAACTTCAGGGAAAACATGGTCTTTTGATATTTCAGGACTCAGAATAATAATTGGCAAAAAGACTGCTGTGAAAATAATTTCAGTTCATATACCAATATTTGTTACAGAAGATAAGGAAGTAAAGAAACTGTATAAAGAACTTGATATGATCATTCCAATTAAATGGGGAAAAATTAATACTTAGTGAATTCAGTGGAAAGGGTGAGATGGGGTAGATGGCCAAAACTAAGTTGGAAAATGATTCAGCAGTAAGAAATAAGAAATCATGTAAATTATCCAGAAGTTATACGTACACACATACATATTTACATATGTATGTATATGCTCATAATATACACATATATGCATATGTACATACACACATATGTATGTATAAATACAACATGCACATATATAATCCATATAGACACATCTATGCTAAATGTTTTATGTATGTGTGTATGTGACAAATACTTTCTTTGCAAAGAGAAATGGAGACACTCAAAAAGGCAAACATTAAATAGCATCCTAAAAATTGAAATTGACTGTATTTTAACAGACTGCAAACTGGTTGCTAATCTGTGAGTTATTTCCAAATCTGTACTCAGTCAGTCCAATGACTTGTCAGATCAAAGATCAAGATCAATATTAAACTGGAAGAAATGATAAAACTAAGAAGAAACTGTGGAATACAGTTTATAGAAGACTAACCTAACCTTTGTAAATGGATAGTTGATGGTGGAAAATGGGTAAAGGATAAAAGAACAGACAACAAAATGACTATTACTATTTCCTAAAAAGTTTAACTAATGAAAATCAACCTTAATAACATTGCCAAACAGAATGATGTGGCTTTCAAAACAAACACCAGTTCAGCGTATAAACTGTAAATGTTACAGTTGATGGAGGAAAAAAATAAATTTATCAAGAAAGCTTGGCAGGAAATTCTAATAAGTAAAATCAATGCAAAAGGATTTAATGATAAAACTGAAAGGAAAGCAGAAAACAAAGAATAGAGAAGACATACAAATATTTTTTTTCTTTTAATCATAATTTACTTTCACTGTCACGGACATCAGAGAAATGACATCTGGACTCTAACCCTACGGCCCCCCAAATTCTATATTAGGAACTAGATAAGGTATTGAATAAAATAATGATGGGAAGAGCAATTAGACTATCTTGGTAGATAAAAAGGTGGCCCATTTTGGCTGGGATATAATTTGAGGGTTTAGAAATATTTCAAAGGGCCTAAGAAAGGGGAGGACTCTAAAGGTCTGGAAAAATCTCAAATCTAATTGTTAGAAAATAAAAGATGAATAAGAGAATATTATAATTTTTTAATGTATAGGACTTCTTTCTAAGGTCAATAAAAGTTTTTTAATGAAAATAATCTATAAATACATGGAGGACATCCTTCTTGAAAGTATGTGAAGGAGGAGTGGAGCAAAAATAATGAATTAAAGGCAGGCATCCAGGGGAACCCTCCAAATAACTTTAAAATCAAATTTTAAAGAGGAAGAGCCAACAAAGGGTCAGAGTGAGACTCTTTTTGGCCTAAAACCACTTAGGAGGTTAGCAGAAGTCAGTAACATCAGAGTGGGAGTTAGCCCAGAGGGTGGAAACAACACCATCTGTGGGTCTTATAGGGGACTGCAATAGTAGCTGTAACAGCAGCAGCTTTGGGAGCTCTCAACTGAAATAGGGCAAGGGGGTGGGATGATTAGTCAGAAACAGATGACAGGGGACCCTTTGCTGGCTCTAGGTGTAACTGGCACTGATTGGCAACTCTATTGCCCATACTCAGTTCTGCGTCACAGTTGCAAAAAGGAGTGTTGGTGATCATTTACAAGGAAGCACAGCCTCTAGCCCCAGATTCAAGGCAGAGAGGAGTATTAGCAGTTGTTTCTCTTGGAGAGCAGGGAACCTGGTCACAGTTCCAGGGCCAAGAAGAGTGCTGATACTTGTGGCTATAGGGAAGCAGAGCACAGACCAGGAGAGCTGTGACCATACCTCCCCATATCACACTACTTTGGAAGCACTGCAAACTTGCAGATCCCCCAGAACCACCTCTGAAAACAGCAGCATGAAAAAGCTTGGGACAGTGCCTCCCCACCCCAAAGTGGGCAGAGCCCAACTTCAATATGACATTCAAAGTCAAACCTGACCACAAAAAGCTACTGTGTTGGCAGGGAAGACTAAGACATGAACTCAGAAGAAAAGAATGTGAAAAAGGATACAATCAAAGCCTCAAAGTAAAATGCTAATTGGATCCAAGCCCAACAAGAATTCCCACAAGAGTTAAAAGAAAAAGATAAGAGTGGTAGAAGAAAGATTAGGAAAAGAAATGAGAGTGATGCCCCCCAAAATATATTAAAAAGCCTGGTAAAAGAGGTATAAAAATATTGAAGAAAATAACACTTAAAAAAAAAAACAGAATTTACCAAATGGTAAAAGAGAAAAAATTAGCAGAATAGGTGAAATGGAAAAAGAGGTACAAAAATTCATTGAGGAAAAAACTTCTGAAAAAGTAGGATTGACCAAATGGAAAAGGAGGTATAAAAGCTTACTTTCTTACATAATAGAAGCATGCAAGGAAGAATTTTTATAGTGGAGGGGAAAATGGGGGTGGGTGGGTAATGCTTGAAACTCACTTCCATCAGAATTGGTTCAAGGAAGGAAGAATACACACACATACACACACAGATACACACACTCAGTTGGGTATAGAAATCTATTTTTACCAAATGGGGAAATAAAAGAGGAATGGGAAAAGACATATGGTAGAGGGGTGATCATAAAAGGGATAACATTAAGGGAGGCAAAGATCAGAAGCACAACAGACTTTTGAAGAGGGATAGGATAAAAAGAGAAAGAGCACAACAAATGAAAGAAAATAGGATGAAGGGTAATACACAGTAATTATAACTAAATGTTAATAGGATGAGATCACCCATAAAATGGAAGCAACTATCAAAATTGGTTAGAAACTAGAATCCAACAATATGCTGTTTGCAAAAGACACACTTGAAACAGAAAGACATATACAGGGTTAAAATAAAGTACTGGAGCTGAATCTCTTATGCTTCTGCTGAAGTAAAAAGGCATGGGTAGCAATCATGATCTGCGACAAAGCAAAAGCAAAAATGGAAATAATAAAAAGAGATAAGCAGGGAAACTATATTTTGCTTAAAGGTACCATAGACAATGAAGTAATATCAAAAATGTTAGGGGTAAATTTCTGTTGAAAGCTTTATTTCTCAAATATATAGGGAACTGAGTCAAATTTATAAAAACAAGAGCTATTCCCCAACTGATAAATGATCAAAAATATATGAACAAGATGTTTTCAGAAGAAGAAAACAAAGCTATCAATAGTTATATGACAAATGCTGTAAATTACTACTGATCAGAAAAAAGAGTATTAAAACAACTCTGAGGTGACACCTCACACCCATTAGAAATGACAGATGCTAGAGGAGATGAGGAAAAATAGGTACATTAATGAACTGTTGGTGGAGTTGTGAATTAGTCTAATTATTCAGTAGAACAATTTGGAACTATGCCCAAAAAGCTATAAAATTGCACATATTCTTGGTCTGTACCTCAAAGAGATCAAAAAAAAAAAAAAAGGAAAAGAACCCATAGGTACAAAAATTGTTATAGTGGGTCTTTTTGTCCTAGTAAAGATTTGAAAATTGAGAAGATATTCATTAATTGGGGAATGGCTGAACAAGTTGTGGCATAATGAAGTAATACTGTGCCATCAGAAATTAATAGGGATGAGGTTTCAGAAAAAAAAATTGTAACACATAAACTGATACAAAGCAAAGTGAGAACTGCGAGATCATTGTATACAGAAATAGCAATTTTGTAATGATGATCAACTGTGAAAGACTTGGCAACTATGACCAATACAATGATCCAAGACAGTTTCAAAGAGTCATAATAAAAAATGCTGTCCACCTCCACAGAGAGAACTGATGAACTCTGAATGAAAATTGAAGTATAATTATCTTGTTTTCTTTGTTTTTGCTTTTGTTTTTTGGTGACATGGCTAATTTAGAAATGTGCTTTGCATGAAAACAAAAGAAAGAAATGAATGAAAAAGCATGTATATTAATGGGAACAGGCGGATTTTCACAAATAACCTTCTATATCTTTATCATAACAAATATGATTGAAAAGTTCAACCCCCATTATGCTTATTGTTTGTTAAGTAGAAAAACAAAACAAAACAAAAAACCATTTCCTGTGGCAAAATAAAAATGCCAACCTTAAGAATTTCTGTCAGCAAAGTTTCCTTAAGGCTTATGTCAAAATCAAACAAAATTCCTTAAAATATGTAGAAACAGGAACAACTTTGTTAGCCAACTCACTATTATTATCAAGCAAGGCACACAACAGGAAAACATATTGTAGTTAAAACTGTTTGCCACTGTCATATAAGACATCCAGAAAGGGGTCCAAATTTAAGGGACATTACAGCAGATCATGAGATCTTTCAGTTTTCAAAACTGTGCCAGTTTTTAGATGATATTATGCTGACTTATCAAACTCTGGAATATATCAGAGCTTCCTGAATTAAATCCATAATTATTTACAGTAGAAATTCAACAGGATGAAGGATGCCTATTGTCTGGACTATGATGGACAAGCCATACAGTAGCTGTACTAGAACACATATTTAGGACATACAGTTGGGCCAATAATTGAGGAAGAGAAAAGTAGAATGTGTTGCCTTTGGGAAACTACATTTTGCTTTTTTTTTTTAATCTAAAGCTTCTCTTTTAAACAAAGCCCAGACTTTCAACATTAATATATTTCGTCTGCTGTTGTATGGCTGTCAGTCTTGGAACATTGCAATGGTTGTAAAATTAAAAATGAAGGTCACCTAAAGGATAATGTAAAAGTGCAACAGTGGATATGAATAAGCTACAACACATTACCAATCAAGAAGACTGGCATAAAATAGGTCATCACAAAAGGTAGTCCTAAAAGAGAAAGTGGTCCAGTAAAAAAGGAAATGAGGTATTACTCATGGATAGTTCACATGCTTTATTGGCAACCATAGGTGAGAGCAAGAGCTAGGTCCCTAGTACTTTGGGTTGCCTCCCAGTGGTAAGATTTATGGGAGGCTATGGAGTAGATTCACCTTGGATGACAACTAGAGGATATTCACACAGAATCACAAGATTACAGATTTATAGCTTGAAGAGAGCTCAGAGGCAATCTAGTGTACCCCATTCATTTTACAAATAAGGAAAATGAAACCCAAGAGAACTTGTCCAAGTCCAGAAAGGTCAAAACTGGCTGAGGAAGGATTTTAACTTGTCATCTGACTCTAACTCTATTGCTCTTTCTACTGAGCCTCTCTATCTCCTCAATGAACTCGCTGAACCCCTTGAACTATAGATCCTTGAGAAGAGAGGATTTTTTAAATTGTCTTTGTATACCAAGCATGTAGCCCAGTGCCTTAAACATAGTAGGCATTTAGTTAAATAAATGCCTATTGAATAAATGATTGAGAGATAGGACACTTTGTTGATTTTAAAAGATATAGGTAAAATGATTTTTGATATTCTTTCCTTTGATCCAAACACTCCTTATCATTTAGAACATGAGGTCAGGGTTATAATTGTTGTCCAATTTCTTTTTGAGAAAGTGGTGAATCAATAGATTTGCTCTACTCTCAGAACAAGCTAAAACACAGTATCTCTCTATGGGTTTCCAACAGCAATTTCTGTCTTCTTACAAAAATGGACTAAGAAGTAGAAAGAAGTAAGAGAGAAGTCAGATTCAATTAAATTACATCTGTATCAGTCTTCAAATTAATCTATAATTATGAAGACATAAAGAACTTTAGAAATTTCTGGTTTTGAACCAAAAACATTGAAATATTCAGTGAAAAAAATGTGTTATAAATACTTAAAACATGGCCTTCATAATCAGTTGTCAGTTGTCAATGCTACTAATATGCAGGAGATGAAATTGTGAAAGGGGAAAGACAGGACAGTTAACGAAGTATTGCATATTGTTAAGTAATGTCAAAGTTCAATATTAGAGGGGCTAATGGTAAAATTTATTATGCTTAATTTACCTGTTCATAAAACTCATTGACTATACCATCTGTCCATTGTAAATGAAGTTCTTTACATTTAGCTGGACCATTGATGTCAGCCAACTTTATGCACATTTGACAAACCAATAAACGATCATTTTCATTAGTCCAATCTATGCCAACATCATCATTCGCCTGTATGAGACAAAGAGAAAATTTGTTTTGCCTCAGTGAAACAATATTAAACAACATTCTAGAACAGAACAAAAGATGCTGAGCATCTATCTGCAGATCAGTCATTCTCTCCCATGCAATGGCTCAGCAAATTTATGAAAAGATCCCTCGATTTCATGGATGTGAGGACTCTTTCCACAACTTCCTAGAGGATCTTTGTGTTTGGCTACCATAAAGGAAAATAAAAACATTTTCTGGTATTTGAAGCACATGTAGACAGTACATCTCCAAGCTTATGCTTAAAGACTTTCCAGTTTGGTAACATTTGTAAGCCAGTGCCTCACAAGGTTTACATATGAGAATCCATGGTCACTTCCATAACATGTTAAAGCAGTGAAGCAAGACATTAGTGGAAGCAGATTATTTAAAATACCTTTAGTTGTTTGCTCAATTACGAATGTAGTAGAAAAAAATTTAAAGGGTAAAATAATGAACAATTGATCAAATATAGTTACTTAATGAATTATGTTGAAATTCCCCAAGCATTATTTCAAAGTAATTGTTATACTTTATTCAGAACTGTTACAAAGGAAAGTAGATAAATTATGTGAAGTTTTTGAGTTAACATTTGAGACCTTTATATCAGGTCTAGCAAAATTTATCTTTGGTCTTTGAGTGTGTTTGAATAGCAAATATTTTAATAGATATTTAAAATAGGTTAAAATGTCAAATTAAAACAAGTATGCCAAAGGAAACCACATGGAAATATTTCTTATGGAATTAGAGAACACAATGCAATTCGTGTAAGGGGTCAAGTATAATATTTACATAGTCAGTACTACAGCATCTCAATTATTCTTAGCTTCTCTATTTGGAATGTCTCTGTATTACTCTACTTTTACAAACAACATACAGATATTAGTAATTAAATATGCTTCTTTTCTGACAGCTTTCAGTCTGACCACAAAATGAAGACTGGTACAATTCTAGTTACCTTGGCATTGAATTTGGCTACAAAATCAAAATGTTTCTTCAGGTCAGTGGCCAAAATTGCTTCAATGACGAGAAAACGGAAATGCTTAAATTCCACATGGTCAAGGTTGACTAAAAAGTTATACTCTGGCTGGGACATGAAGAGATTCCAGGCAGCAGCTGCATGATGATTCTCTAAAACTGAACGGTCATTATACAGCACCGCCTAGAAGGGAAAAAAAAGAGTTACAGAGTGTAGTTCTCAGTTGAATAATGTTAAGCCACCATTGAATGGTATTAAAATTATGTAATTTACGGTGATTTCAGAAATGGTTTGTTTTCTCATAAACAAATGTTTATAATTGATAGAACACAGTAAATACCCTATTATGAAATTCTTACTAAATTCTTAATTCTTAATGTTGACCTAGTACTTTCCTTCATCCCTATTCCCCATGTAAAATTTTTATTTCAAGTAAAATATGGAAGGAAATGGCATTAGACCCTCTTTTGTGGACTATGTCTATAACCTCTCCCAGCACTTAGTTTTCCAAACAGACTTTCAAGAATCCTATGACACCTCAGGTTGCAAGAGGGACCTACTGGGGAAGAAAATTATCATCATGTAGAACAAGTGAAATATTTTGATTAGCTTTGGCTAGGCTTCAAAGTGTTATATTGATAAGTTTTGTTTTTACGTCACTGTCATGTCTGGCTATAGCTCTTTCCTATGAATTCTCCCTTGAAATAAAAAAAAGTATGAAAATTGCCCCGCAGTTTTTCTACATACAACATTCTGCACCATTTTTTCTGCCCCCCATCTCTACTAAACAGAAAGAAGTTTCCTTTATTTTTCTCTTTTAATGGGTCAAGATTGGGCATTCCATGTACTGAGGATTCAGTATTGCTTTAGTATTGTCTTCATTTATAATACTGTATCCACTGCATGTATTTTTCCTAACTTTGCTTACCTCTCTCAAAGTCATTTTATAAAGTCTTGCTATGTTTCTTTGAATTCTTATTTTTATCATTTTTATAGCACAATAACATTACATTCATACAGTTTGTTCAGCTATTTTATAATCAATGGCTCCCCAACTTGTTTCTAGTTTTAAGCTACTACAAGTAGTATATAGGAATAGGGACTAGACCTGTGATTTCATTAATGTTGGAATTCCTGGATGAGGATACTCTCTCTACCAGTACAGGTTAATTGATACCTTCTCTAAAATTTAAAGCATTAAATAATTATCTAGGACACTTAGCAGTTAAGTGAATTGTCTACAGTCACACAACCCTGAGGTGTTAGGGGCAAGATTTAAAACCAGGTCTTTCTGACTGTAAGGACAATACTCTACCTACTATTCCTTCTGCTTTTCTTTGTGGTATAGAAGTGGAAGGCATCTTGTTCCTACTTGTCCTCATCTATACAAAATCTGTATGACAGTCATCTATGTACAATTAAAGGTATTCTCTATAAGGAGATTAGTAGGGAACAAGCAGCCTTTCACTCATGATGTTCAACAATGGACTATATCTTTACCACTTCAAAAGTAATTGAAAGATTTTGAGAATATAAGATCCCATTGTGTTTATTCTTTGTTGATTATGAAAAAGTGATTTGATATGCTACAATACATTGCCCTACATATTCTTAAAATAGTGTCTCCCATTCATATATCAAAATTATTTCTCAAAAATATAACAGAAATAATCTGATTTAATAACTATATTATTTTAAACATGGGATGTCATAAAATAGAGATTTTATGTCCACCAAAGGTAATTGCCACCATAACCAAGAAGATCTAGTACTAAGTCCGTGAGGAAGAGAGATTCTCTGTGTATGATGAAGTCCTCACAATACTTATCTTTGTGGATGATGTGCTGATTGCATCAATCATTGGAATAATGCAGTCTCCAGTAACAGTTCTGTAATCATTCATATGTGTTTAGCTTGGTAATCCACACAAGAAAGTCAAAGTAGATAAAGACTTTTTACTGTCCAGATCACAATATGTACCTAAATGGGCACCCTATAGACATCTATTAGTATGAATACATACAAGATAGGCAGTAGAGAAGGATGATGAATTGGGCCCAGAATCAGAGAAAGGGTGGATTAGAATGCCTTTGGGAAACTACAAAGTTCTTTTAATGAACTCTACCTTCCCATGAAAATGAAGGCCCTTCTTCTTAATAACAACATTCTTCTGGTGTTAGTATATGACATTGAGACATGAACTATAACAAGCACCAATGAATTAAAAATTAATACCTAATAGAAGGCAATGGAGAGATGGTAGAATAGATAAGGGTAGAATGAGACATATTATAAATGAGGAAGTCCAAAGAACAGGAATTAAAGGTGTCATCAAGGAATTATTAAAAATAAAAGAAAGGCTGGTTTTATGGTGAACATGAGAGATGACATGATGGCAGGAAATTTACTTCATTGTTACCCCAATGATGTTGGGAAAACATGATGAAGGCCTGCAGCAGGATGGGTGGACCCTCTGTAGTGAATTAAAAGAGGACATGGACAAGAGTGACACAGGATAAGTCTCAATCTGAGTCATTAGAAGGGACTCTAAAATAGTGACATCATAGATCCATTCAAGGGTTACATGGAATTCTTTATATGCTTCAGATATTCACTAAAATTTTATAAATATGAGAAAGGAGTAACATAAAATTATAGATTTTGAGCTGCAAGGAACCTTAGAAGTCATGAAGATCAACCTCTTCATTTTATATATGAAGAAAATCAAACCTAAAGAGAAATTAAAAGACTTTTTCAGGGTCAACCAGCTAAGAAGTGTCTAAGATGCAATTAGAACCTGAGTTTTCCTGAGTTCAAGTCCAATGTTCTATTTACTACAACTTTTGACAATTACTAATGTTCTTGTTTGCCTTTTGAAGTTATTACTACAATTTGACTTTTTATTTTATTTTTTATGTCTTTTCCTCCCTGAGAGACCTTAAAAAGTTGTCCTTCAATGCTTTCAAAATTATATTGCCTAAGCAAGAATTTCCTTAATATGTACATGGCCTGAACCAGTAATTCTCAAATCCACCCCATTTGTCCTCCTTCAGGTAGTACTTTAGGACCTGAAGGTTTAGGGTTCAAATGAAGTGATTTCTCCATTGTCAATAATGAAAACAGTATTTTGTACAAATGTTGACAAATTTTTTTTTGTGTTGTGTGTATTTGGTATCCTTCAAGTTTTACCCATGAAAGTTCTTGGGATGTTGTGGTTCATTTCTGCTCTGAATACTTGTTTTCACATGCAGTACTATTCATTATCTTAAAAGGTCATATGCTTATTATGTTCTGCCATCCTCTACCACAACATTTTACAAATTAGTTTATATTCTAAGCCAGAGTTGTTCTTGGCTGCTCTCTCTTTTTCAGCTTGGCAAGGAAATCAAGTGCTTTCTGGCCAACACAATTTCTGAGATCTTATGGTTTCCTTGTTGTGGCAACTGTTTTAAATCAGTTCAATTTCATGAGGAAATGATGATAATCAAAGTCAAAATCTATGTCACTTCCCATTTCCCATTTTTTAGGTATCAGATCCTTGTTTGACTAGGTCAGGTTGAAACTGATGCCATTTTCAGTCTTCTCAACTTCAGGTTTTCTTCTAATTTCATATTTATTCTGACCTCTGTTCTAATTAGTTGATTGTCTAGATGACTACACAGAGCTAGCTAAATTTAATGTGATTTCTACATTAAAAACTAGTTGTTTCATATTTGTTTAGATAAAGTGAATTTATCTTTGTGTGTGTGATAGTGTTTGGTATTTGCCATATCTTTTGGCTTTCAACACTATGAGGCTCCTGAGCAGTCTATAAATCTTTCATTCTTTCATTTATTAAATCTGAGTCATAATTTCAAACATATTGTTTTGCCACTGTCCTGTGTCTACATTTGCATTAAATTCACTGACTTCAAAATATCTGTAGTCTTGGTTTGAAGGCTCTTCTTAAGGTCTTCATAATAGTTCTTAAATCTTTACCTTTTGCAATGTTTTCATTGCCTTTGAATGCATGGTAAAAGAGACTACTAATTCCTCTGTCACTCAGTGGAGAGCCCATGAGAGAGCCATTCTTTCATTTAAGTGCGACTTCCTTTTGTCTTCTGATTTTCTTATGCACCTAGCTCTTATATTAAAAGGAACTAGTCACTTCCACACCCCAATTAGGTATCCACATAGAAGTGATTGGTTTACTGGAAGAGTCGTTGTAGTTATTCTTTTACATTATTACATACTTCCAGAAACCATGAGGGTCTTCCCCCCCTGGATTGTTTTCTTTTTATTTATTTATTTATTTTTTAGTTTTCAACATTCACTTCCACAAGATTTTGAGTTCCAAATTTTCTCCCCATCTCATACCTCTCCCTACCCCAAGATAGCATGCATTCTGTATGCCCCTTCCCCTAATCTGCCCTCCCTTCTATTTCTCCCCCCTTCTCTTATCCCTTTGCCCTTCTATTTTCTCTTGTCCCCTTTCACCCTATTTTCCTGAAGTGTAAGAGGTTTCCATAACCAATTGAATGTATATATCATTCCCTCCTTAAGCCAAAACTGATGAGAATAAGATTCACTCATTCCCTCTCACCTTACCCTGTTTCCCCTCCACTGTAAAAATCTTTTCTTGTCTGTTTCATGTGAGATTCCCCAATGAGATACCCCATTCTACCTCTCCCTTTCCCCTTCTCCCAGTATAATCCTCTCTCACTCCTTAATTTTATTCTCCAGATATCACCCCTTCATTTTCAACTCACTCTGTGCCCTCTATCTATCTATCTATCTATCTATCCATCCATCTATCCACATACATACATATAATTTTTTCCCTCCAACTACCCTAATACTGACAAAGGTCTCATGAGTTGCAAATATCATCTTTCCAGGAAGCAATGTAAACAATTCGACCTTAATAAGTCTCTTATGACTTCTTTTTCCTGTTTACCTCTTCCTGTTTCACTTGTGTCTTGTATTTAAAAGTCAAATTTTCCATTCAGCTCTGGTCTTTTCATTGAGAATGCTTGAAAGTCACCTATTTCACTGAATGACCATTTTTTACCCTGAAGGATTATACTCACTTTTGCTGGGTAGGTGATTCTTAGTTGTAATGCTATCTCCTTTGCCTTCTGGAATATTATATCCATGCCCTCTGGTCCCTTAATGTAGAAGTTGCTAAATCTTGTGTTATCCTG